AACAAACCACCTGCTGCCTTTTCAAAGGGAACAATTGCATTTACTAGCTGCCGTTGTGGCCAAGCAGATTCCCCATGCCTCTCCCCAGCTATCTGTAGGGTATTAACCCATGCTGAATTTCACTAGAATTGCAGTTTCTCTTCCTAGTCTCAGCAGATGCATTTGAGACACCATGACATATGGTTCAAGCAGACCAGGGGTCTCGAAGGCTGAAGTCAACACTGGGCATTCCCAAATTTGGCACTGTGGCATGCGGTCAGTACCTATTTGTCTCTCTGTCTATCTAGGCCAGACTCTTCCAATATAATATAATCTGTGTAAGCAAGGCTGACTTCTGTTCTTGGCTGTGCTGCAAACTTCCTGTGTGACCTTGGGCCAGCCACTGCTCCTCTCTGCCTTCCTACTTCCCAGGGTCTTGTGAGGATCCCATCATTACTGTTTGCCAGGTGCAGTCATGAACCCCATGGAGATGCCTATAAATAACAGCTCCAAATTAAACACTGGGGGAGTTCAGGTTAGAGCCTTGTGACTCTCTCTGGCCCTGGCAAGCACTGGAAACCAGGCTAGGCTGCATGTGAGCCCTCACCTACTTCAAATCATAGCTCTACAAAGAGACTGAGAAAGCTGCCAGCTAGGTCAGGGCTTGGAGCTTGGGAACTAGCCCTCCTCCTTTGAAGCAAGGCTTGCACAAGTTTATGTGTTGGGAGGACTCATATTATGGCTATGAACGTATAAATGATTTATTATTCGTGTTTCTCTCCATCCTAAGATAATCTCTCTGTAATGTCCTTGAAGCATATTTCAGTGGGGAAGGGCTCAGCATCTCTTAGGACCTGGAGCTGAGGGGCAATAAGTTTGTTGATTATCTGTGGAGCAGTATGAGTCCCAAAACTGCTTTCTGCTGAGTTGTGTGCCTCAGGAGAGGAGCACCCAGAGGAATGGCACAGGCTTTCTTTTGCTGCTCCCCAGGTGGGTCGTAGCATTTCTGGAGCTCACCAGTGCCCGGGTGGGCACCTGGGAGGTCTGTGCTTGCCTCGGGGCATGGTGGAGCACAGCTCAATGGCCAAGGAGCAGATCAGCTATTTTACAACAGAAAAGGACTGGAAAAGTGGATGTCTTCTCATAATCGCTGCAACTGGGGCTTGTTTGCCTTTATTGTGCCTTGCAGACTTGTTTGGAGAGCCAGCAGCAAAGTGATTTAGGGAAAATAGAAAGGAAAGTCTGGGAAGCAGAGAGGGTTGACTGGAGCAAAAAGCAAGCAAGCACAAGTAATATAGGCATTAGAAGTGCTTTATAATTAGTTTATAAAAGCTCTCTTAACATCAGCAAAGCACTTTCTATTAAAAATCTTTAATAAAAACACAGCAATATTTGTAAGCATTGTACGTTTTCCGTTTAATTCTGTTAAACAGCTCCAAGAAGAGCATCTAAGCAATCCATTTTCCTCCTTTCTCAACCCCGCCTTGTCTGGGCAGTTAAAAGCACTTCAGTTTTGCCTCCCTGCATTAAAACTTCCTGGTGGAAACCTCTGTTTAAGGTGGTTTCAAACCAGCTGTCTGGCCTTCCTATTCAAGCAACAGCTCAAAATATCCTGCCGCTGGAGGAGCAGTTAACTGCGGTCACCTTCCCTGCAAGAAAAGTTGGTTAATCCTTGGACTAAACTTGTGGGTTATGCATGCTGTACCCTGCCCTCACATGTTTATGGTTGGCTCATTGGATCAATGCCTAGATGGGGAGGAGTGGCCATGAAATGTGCTCGGAGATGATGGCTTGCCCAGTGGAGGTGATGCTGGAGAGGTCAACCTATGAGGATGTTGGTGCATTTTGACTGAAACAATGGATTTGGTTATATGAGTGAAATGCAAATCGTCAGGCACTGGTCAAGACAGTTTGGATGCCACTGCTGCATGAACGTGTACCACTCAGCTCTGATGTATTCTGTAATTATCTGGAAATTGAATGGTTAGAGTAGAAAGCATCCCCAGGGTTGGGTTTTCTTCCAATTTTTCTTCTTGTTTTTCACACAGGAAGAAAAAAGTCTGGAAACTATGCTTAAGCTTAACAGAAGCAAAGTTCTGGCCGAACTAGATTTTAGCATGGCCAGTGACCCAAGATGAGGAGAATGGGGTTTATCAGCTTGTTTGATTGTGGGCCAAGGCATGGACATGACTGAAGCACATGATGCCGAGAGTCTGTGGTGGGGATTAGCTGGTGTTCTTGCTGAAGTTTGAAAGTTTCACGATTTGGACCGGACGTCTTTGATGTTTCATTTTGGAAGCCTAGAGCTTAATTGCTATGTTGAAGAGGAAGTAGGTGCTCCTGCTCATCTCAGCAGGAGTTGTCTCCTGAGTGTAATACTCTTCCAATTCACACTCTGTTTATATGACCTGAAGAAAGAGTTTTGCTGTGTGAGAAGCAGAGGGCTTGGGCCAAGATTTTTTAATTAGGGAAGAAAAGTCTTGTGCATTTATATTGATTTTACATTTGGCAAAAATGATTCCCTGACCTTCTCCTAGGGGCTTCTTTTAGTTGTTTGTAACATTTGATTTATTAAGGATTAGCTCCAGTAGGAGAAAGCTCAGTTAGATGCTTGGATGAAGCCAAACAGGGTTTAATTCAGAGAGGCAAATATTTCCTGATGATTTACTTACTAGATTCATTCTTTTAATTTTCCATTTGCAGATTACCCATGAGCAGATTGCAACATTCCCAAATTGTATGTATTATTGGAAGTTATTCACCCATTCAATAAGCAAATATTTCTTGGTCCAGAATTTGCTTCTCAAATTGCCAGGGCTCCTATACCACTGGGTGGTTTGAGGAGCCGTGTGGACAGCACTGGGATGTTTGGTGTGTTGGCTACAGCAGAAGCTATGATCATTACAGTCAAGTAGTTGAAGCTGTGTACTGTGTTGGCGAGTTATACCCCCATGAGGACATAAACAGATGTGATTCCCTGGTATGCATCTAACCTCTGCCTGTGCCATGTAAATGGCAGCTTTTACAATCCGCTCCATTAACTGTGTTTTGCCAACATTCATGTTTTTGCCAAATTAATTTCTTGTTGCATATTCACGATTTCACTAGTAGCCAGTACTCCTGCAGCACAGATGTGCACTTCAGATGTGGAAGGGCTGCAAGCACACTGAAAGCAAGCAGTTATTTAGAGAACAGAACGTCCCCGCTGTTTGCTCAGCACTACTTTAAACAAATAGACAAACAAGGAAGAAAATTTCTACTTAAAAGAAGCACTAACACTGCCCTGTATGTTCCTCCTCCCTGGGGAGGTGGTGGGATCAAGCCACACATGATGGACATTAGTGGGGTCATGCAGGGTGCTGCTGGATGGTGTCAGGGTAATAAGGGGTCACAAGGTGATAGGGAGCTATACAGAGCTGAGGAAAAAGCAGAGGGAACAGATCTTTATTTACATCGCTGTGTGTCCACCCACCAGCTAAGCCAAATGCTTTTCCTGTGTGAGTGCCTTGTCTCAAGACCGCTTCGATTTCACCTCGGCCAAGCCAATTGAGTCTGTAATGAAGTTAAAGGCTGAGTGATTGCAGCTAGTTGAGTGCTTGGTCTGGCATAGACCTGATTTTATCTGCAGGTATTTTGCTTCTGGCTCTCAGCCTGATTTAGTCCCAGAAAGGAGTGAAACCAAAGCCATCCAGGCCATCTTTCATTGTGGAGGAGCACGCTCAGTCCCTGTAAGTTTGTTTTGAGGTTGTTGCCTGCCGATGTGTGCTTTGAAGAACAGGAATGAATCACATGAGGATCATTCTGCATCCAGCAGGCCACTTCTCCTTTCAACTCTCCATTCCCGAACAGCAGATCTTGTGACAAAGAAGAAAGGCAGATTCCTGGCAGCCTGGAAATGCTTTTTCCCTCCCTGGCCGAGTGAGAAGAGCTGTAGCATGTTGTTCAAACAGGTTGATACAAAGCGAATAAACAGTTGAAGAGAGATGGGCAGTTTCTGTAAATAGCAGCATGCTGGCCAGAGAGGAGAAGAGGGATGGGAGAGTGTGGGTGTTAGAAAGCAGCTGAAGAACAAGATGTTCACGTAAAAGCTGTTTGTTTCTTCACAGCACACAGAGCCTGATACTACCTTGCCATTAGTCATGGCCTAGAAAATATGAAGGAATTTGTGGGAGTTTCACCCTTCAGACAGACTTTGCAACAAGCTTTTGTCTCTGCACCAGGAGTCAATTCTTCCAACCCTACACATTGCTCCCTCAGACCATTCAGATGCCCAGATGCCATGCCAGTGGGCAGGTGGGACATCTCCAGGTAGGGTTTAGCAAAGGCAGATTGCAGTTACAGGGTGTATACAAGGACCAGGCGGTAGTGAATGTGGTTACTCAGCTTTTACGCAGCACTTCTCATCCACAGAAAATCTTTGTTAGCATGTAATAGACGAGGATCAGTATTGCTGTCCAAGTGCTAAGTAAGTGTACTGGCCAGGCTTATTAAAGGACCAGTGTGGTGCACAAAATAGCTGCCTGCTCACATCGATTGAACGCTGACCATTTGTTTAATGCTTGGTGCGTGCTTCGGTAAATCCCACCTGAATAGTGGAATAAACTGAACTGTGCTGAGTAACACAATGGCACTTAAGGAGAGAGGTGAGGGAAGGAGAGCAACCACATGAGAGTTGTCTCCGAGCTTCTCCCATGCCAAAAGAGTCTTGTGGAAATGGAGGTAATTTGTGTCCTAAATTTTGCACCTTGGCTCTGAAGTTGAAAAGGATGTGGGTGCAATAAATTAATGAAGTGAGGAGCAACAGAGTAAGGGACTTAAATGTAGACAAATGTAGACAAAAGGGAAAAAATATATTGGGGGGGCTGGGGGGTGGTGTAGTGCGGTGTGAGTGACAGTCCCAGGTTCCTGGCTAGAAGATGTTCTGTGAAATATGCAGATATAAAGTGTTTCGCATTTGTTCCTGGCATCCTGAAGTGTCTCCCTGACAGATGGTTTTACTGCCTTTTCACCTGCCTCCACAGGTATGACTATATCGAGATCCGAGATGGGGACAGTGAAGCGGCAGACCTGCTGGGCAAGCACTGTGGGAACATAGCACCTCCTACCATTATCTCTTCTGGCCCCTCTCTCTATATCAAGTTCACCTCGGACTACGCACGGCAAGGTGCTGGCTTCTCCCTGCGTTACGAGATCTACAAGACAGGTGAGTGTCTGAGTCGGTGCCTGTCTCCCAGGCTGTTCGTCACAATGATCTTCACAAGGAGATGTCTTTGGCCACCTTTTCAATATGATTTTTAGCACGTTTTCTATAGATATGGGACTCTTTGTTTTGTTTTCTTTTCTTTTCTTTTTATAATTTAAGCAAGTCTGTGCATCACATTTCCAAGAAGGTAAAGATGTTAGTGGCGCATGATAGTGCATTTTTGGATCACAGTGTGGCATCAAAAGCAGGATTCCTCCTTAAATGCTTTCTTGTATTCAAGGACTACAAACATATCTTTTCTTCCTGGCATATGTGGAGCTTGTTAGGGCTAAGAGGGGATTGTCCCTCTGTTAGGAGTGCATGGAGCTCCCCCCTCCTGTGGAGCTGCGATTCAGGGCTGATCAATGATGCTGTGTTTTCTCTCCCTGGAAGCGGGGTTTGTAACTGGGGAGCTCTAGTTTTCAAGGGACTGCTGACAGCAGTGCTGTCAAGAGCTGAAGCAGCGCCTTTCCAGGCAGATATAAGAGGAACTATTCATAATTCTGTTTAATACCGAACTATTATTGAAGAAAGGAGAAGCTGCTCAAAGGCCTTTTAGTGGTGTTTCTGTCTAAATATTTGCCAGAATTGTGTGTCTGGGAAGAAGGAGACTTGAGAAAATAAAACCCACTGTGTGTATATGGGTGAGAGTGGTGTGCCTATGCGCCAAGGAAACAGGAGTGTTTTGCATGGGGACACAGGCACCTGCTCTGTGCCCACATCCTTTTGGTGGTGCACTGGAAGAAGACACATGTGCAGCTTTCACGTCATTGCATCCAGCATGAACAAAATTCCTGCACCTAATGAAGGGCCAGAAAGGAGCACAACAGGGTCACTTACCCAGCCTTTTCAAAGGGAAGGCAGGAAGCCCACGCAGCAGTGCCCAGGGGTCCTGGCCCAGCTGTGCAGCAGGCAGAGGTGTACAGGCAGTTCACAACCCGGTCACGTGTAGATGTGAATGTGGAGTCTCTGCTGCAAGAGGATGGGAATGGGGCTCCCCAGATTCATTGTGAATGGTGAGGACAGAAGGTGTCTGGAGGTTCAGGTGGATGAGGAAATAAGTGCTGTTGTTGGTGGTTGCCTGGGCTGTATAACTAGCCACTGAGCTGTATAACTAGCCACTGAGCTGTTTTGGTGCAGCCAGCTCACCGCTGTTGTTTGTTAATGGTTAGGATGCAGATTACTCCTGAAAGAGTTTAGTTGTTCATACGGCTATTGGGGTTTATTTACTGAGGCCAGTTTCCAGCATGGAGGATGGCAAAGAATGCCTGTGTTCAGATAGGAAGACTGCAGACCCACCTCAGCCCCCCTTGCCTCTTGCTCCCTGTACACACCTCCTCTGAGCCCAGCAGACTGCGCTGGGTTGTGCCTGTCCTCACATTGGGTCTGTGCTGTGAGTCGAAGCACGGGGCTGTGTGGAGTGTTCCAGCTGGCTGAGGTGGCCAGGCCAGTCTGAGTGTGGATGTGGGAAGGGATGGCAAGCAGGAACCCTGTCTGCCTGGGCGGGAGCAAGCAAGCGGCCGAATTAATGGGAAAAGGAGATCCTGTTGTGACTGGTAGGGAGGGAGAAGAAGCAAGGACTGATTTGGGAGAGAGCAGATATTGGATGGAGGCTGGAGCTGACTTCGTGTCCCTCGATGTAGGTCCCTGCAGAACTGCTTTTAGGTCTGAAGTGGTATTGGGGCTCCTTTCTCTGCCACCACCACCCCCTGCAGGCAGCCATCCTCTCCAGAAACAGCCACGCTATCTTTTAGCCACAGCCCAGGAAATCTAGCCTAGCAAGGCAGGTTTTGGCACAGGAGTGGGGATGACCCTGTGATCTGGGAGCACCCCCAGCCCACCTCGTCGTCCCGGCCCTTGGTCCTGCCGGTGCTTCCAGGGAGGGCAGTGGGCAGTGCTGGCTGCTGGGCCACCACAGTGCAAGCAAACCCTGCCTTTTGTTTGCAGGCAGGCGGGCACAGGCAAAGTTTCCATCTGAGCTGTCAGGGTAGCCAGCAAGGGTGTCACCAGCTTTAAAGGTCATCGGATTGTCCCCATCAGTAAAGGCAGTGTGGCTGCAGCTTCTTTCTTTCTTAAAGGTGACCTAAAAAATCAACTCTTTTTCAACTGAGCATTTATTTCCACACCTTGTGCTAAATTTTCCTTATCACGGTGTGAGAGAGGAGCGATCTGCATACAAACAACTGCATACCAGTCTTTGTATCCCCTGATGGGTATCAGTCATCGGTCTGTGGGCTAACAAAAGAGCTGCCTGCCCTGGCTGGTCCAGCTTCCCTGCTGCTCACTTTGCAAGTCAGTTTGGCAGGGCTGACCAGAGCTCTTCATTGTTGGGCATCAAAGTCTCCTCTCAGGCTGGTCGGTGCTGCTGAAGCCAGCACGACTCCTGTTGATTATCTGCAGCTTCCTTATAAAAAGATGATCATTGTGTTTGCTGCTATCAGCCAAACTGTAGACAAAGATACCAAATGCGGTAAGAGCCCCACATGAGGGAACTGTCATTGTCTAATGCAGTGACATAGTTATGTCTCTCTGCTGTCTCGAGAGGACAGTCCCTGACTCTGGGTTTAGTCTTTGATTTTTCTCCCCAGCTTGGAGATTGTGTTATTTTCTCTGTTTATCCGTTTGCCTTTCAAGCTGTTTGGAATGAAGTACACCTGTATCCCTGTTTGTGGTGTTAGGCTGTGATTTGTGTTTGGCCTTATTTTTTGCCTCTGCATTTTACCCCATAGGTTCACACCAGAAAAGCTGGCTGCTTCATTAGGTAGTCAATTAAGAGCCTCTCTTGAGTAGCTCTCCAGCTAGGCGCTGCATTATGCAGCGCCTGGATCCTGCTATTACTGCGGGCTGCTGGCCTGACTCCTGTAGGTTAATGCTGAATTGAATAATAAGTCTCCCATTAGTCCCAGGAAGGCTCGTGCTGCCTGGAAGAGCCGAAGCAGAAGGGTTTGTAGAGGAGAAGGAGGATGTCCCAGTAAAACCAAAGCAGAAACCTTTGCGAATGCTAATGCTGGGTTGCAGCATGGCAGGCAGCCTTTCTAATATCCCCTTTTGCCTCTGATAGCTCCAGGCTGCACATTTCTGTTGCCTATTGTCCTGTCTCCACAGCGCAGCGCAGGGGTTTCAAAGTCACCGTGGTATGAATACGGCACAAATTCCCCTTTTCCTGGCCACCACCCTGAGGCACCTTGGCTGTGTGAGAAGGGGCACTGAGCTGGCCCCGCTGCAGCTGAGGCCAGTGCTGAGGTCAGCAATAAATAAGAGGCAACATTGTCTGCCCTCCTCGCCATGCAAAGGTCTTTCTTAAGGATAGAAATAACTTACATTTCTGGTGTGGACGGCTCAGTCTGTGAGAAAGAGGTCTCTGTTCCTCCTCTCAGCAAAGCCCGCCCCGCCATGGCCCCTGTGTACCCCTGGTTTTGCTGTGGCCACATTGTGGGGACGTATGGTGAAGCTGGCCCTCATCTCTCACGTGGGTCTCGGGGCTGCAGGCTGTGTGCTTCCCAAGGGTTTCAAGCTAACAATGGAGACACTGGCACCCTCCCCCAGGCCCTTTCACTGTGTAAATATTTGTGCTTCCAGATTTTCTGAAGAGGAAACTGAGGCACAGATGTCTGTGCTGGAAGGGTAGAGGTTGAAGGAGACCAGCCCCTGGGGACAGCTTTTCCAGAGAGGTGACATCCCTGTTACTCCTCTCTGCCCCTTCCCAGGCAGCCTCCTCCCCAAATGGGTGCTCCTCCATCAGACCTGGAGGTGCTGTGGCCCTTTGCCAGCGTGGCCAGCGGGTGGCAGCCATGGCAGTGAGGACAGCATACAGCAACCTCCTGCATGCTGGCTGTCCCCTCTGTGGGTTTTGCAGTGGCAGACACAGGTCGCTATTTGGGCACCTGGCTTACGGAGGTTAGGGCTGGCAGGCAAAGCCCAGCCCAGCTCAGTGTGGCCTCCCTTCCCCACCAGGGCCACCACCACCAGCACGGGGGACTTCCCCCCTGCCAAATTGCAGCCATGGCTTTGGGTGGGATCACTCTGCTAGTCCTGTTTTTGGAGTAAATGGAAGGGGGATCAGCAGTGGTGTGTGTATAGGTTACGTTTGCAGAGCTGCCTGAAGGGTTTAGAACCGTGCTGTGCTCTCCAGTGAATGCACAGACCTTGTCTCTCCACCTGTGGAAGGCTTGGAAAATCACCCTCTCGGTCCCTGCAGGAATTCACAGAGCTCTTGGGTTACAGGACATTTCCAAAAGTGAATACATACCCCCTCTAAGCTCAAAACAGGCTTTCCACAGTGTCAAGCTGTTGGCATTAAGCTTCATTGTTGCTAAGGCTGAGGGTTTTTTCCTGCCACTACAGGCTCTGAGGACTGCTCCAGAAACTTCACTGCCTCCAACGGCACAATTGAGTCCCCAGGTTTCCCTGACAAGTATCCACACAACCTGGACTGCGTCTTCACCATCATAGCCAAGCCAAAGACAGAAATCTTCCTCCACTTTCTGCTTTTTGACCTCGAGCACGACCCACTGCAGGCAGGGGAAGGAGACTGCAAGTACGACTGGCTGGACATCTGGGACGGCATCCCTCAGGGTAAGCGACGGTGCGCTGCTGTCCTCAGCCTCTTTTGGTGTCTCACAAAGCTCCAAAACTGTGCAATCTGTGTCAGAACACCAAAGGTGCCTAACCTCAGACACGGCTGCAACATGCAGCCTGCTATCGGGGCACTCCCTGGCCAGCTGTGGGGACGGTGCGTTTGCAGAAGGCTGCATGCATTAAACCCCAAACTACTGCTCTGTTGTAACCACTGATCTGAAAAGCCCCATGGGACTGTTCAAGATGCCACTGGTCTTCCCTCGGGGAAGAGTAGTGGGTTCATGCAATGCTGGAAGGACCTCCGTACCATGTACCAACACTGAGAAACAGTGCAGTTTGAAGCATTTCCCAGCAATTGCAGAGCAATACCTGCTGCAGTGGTTATTTCTGCATGGCACCAGGCCATCGGATGTTAAAAACAGACCATCCCCAAAGCCTTTCTTTTATGCCGGTCGGTCCTGCTAAGGCATCCCTGCTGAGTGGTGCCAATCTGCTGGTGACCCAGGAGGCTGGTGGAAAAGCAGGCGTCACCTTTGCTGCTCTTTCTTTTGCAGTCGGACCCTTGATAGGCAGGTACTGTGGCACTAAGATGCCATCTGACATCCGTTCAACCACCGGCGTACTCTCGCTTACCTTCCATACGGACCTGGCAGTGGCTAAAGATGGTTTCTCTGCTCAGTACTACTTGATCCAGCAGGAAGTCCCAGAAAGTAAGTTTGAAATGTGTGTATGACTTAAGGCAGTCATGTCACCTGTTTTTCCCGAGTCCTTCACTTGGCACATGCAAGAGTGAGGCAGGCAAGAGGGTGTCCAGGGACTGGTCCCCCACCAGCACTGCTGACAGCAGTTTTACTAGCTGTGTTCTCTGTTTTTTGTAGAAGTGAGATTTCAGTAAGAATCACACTTTCTGACCTTTCTTTGACTTTTCAGTTGCTCATGAAGTCTTTCCAATACCTTTTGGGATAGAATGTGCTCAGAATGTGCTTCATGTTTGTGTTCAGCCTGAAGGATTTAGGGGAAGACTTCAGCCCAACGGGTGCAGCAGATTCATCAAAGCATGGGGGAATATACTCTCTCCCTCTTTATGATTTTCTAAAACCCACAGCCCCAAACTACAAATTGGCATTTCTTGGCTGTCTAATTAAAAAATGCCTAAAGCTCTAAGAATTTCAAGCCAAAATTTGTTTTAGATCCCTTATTAAGGGAGGTAAATTGATGGAGTGAGAAAGTAAGTTGTGTTTTGAGAATGAAGAGCATTTTGATTCTTTGTGATCACACTTGCAGGCGAGGAAAGGTTCGGTTTGTTTTCCCATGCTATTTTTACAATCAGAGCTACAGTTCTCGACCTCTGTTTGCAGTGCAACTGTGATACAATAGAAGAAGCCTTCAGAACACCCTTCAGTCCCAGCGAAAGAGAGTGGGTCCCTGACCCAACATTGAAAGCCCATGATGGAGAGCAGGGTAGAGGAGGGGTTGTGTAGAGCTAGGGCAGCTGGGTTACAGGCTCTTGTTCTGTGATTGAGTTAGGGATGTTCTGCTGAGGCTGTGAGAGTTATAGCCAAGCATGAGCTCTTCACCTTTACCTATCTCCACACTCAGTTAATCTGTTCTTTAATCCTCTTTCTGTTTTGTTCTTTAAAAGGACTGAGAAATAAAATGTTAATGACACACAAAGCTTAAGAAATCAAGCACAAGAGCTGTTAAAGGGCCAGGCCTGTTTTGATTTATGCTGGTGTAAATCGAATCTTTAATAATACTACTGAGATCTTAACTTGGCTCACCATTTCCACTCAGGGTTGACTTGGCCACATCAGAAGCACAGGCAGTTTGGTGGAGCCCCATTGGTTTACAGCAGCAGCATGCTTGGGCCCATGCAGTATTTCCTATCAATGTTTTCTTTGCTATTGTTTTTACAGGACAGCTGCCATAAAATATGCAATTAAAAAAATGCCATAAAAGATGTGCAATAAGATTGAGCTAATTGTGACTTTTAAAGGCTTAGAAGTGAGGAAACCCAAATGAAAGCATACCAGAGTCTTTCAGATTCTTGGCTGGTTAATTCCCATGGGCCTGATATCGCATATAGTGTATGCGCATATACACAGACATATATACACATGCATCCATACTCTCACACACGCACAAAAACTTGAGACCTGCCCATTCCAGGCCTTGACATTCCTGTTAGCAGCCCAGCAGTAAGCACCCTCCTGTTCTGCCTGCCTGTACTGCTTGCCTTGTCAGTTTTTGCCTCCAGCCTTCAAGAAGATGCGGAACTTTGGCAAGGGGACTTGGGACATATTGGTGGAGATGGAGGGAGGGAAGGGACAGAATTGTGTCAAAACTGTGCAACAGTGAAGGAGATAGAGAAAGGGAGAAAGATCTGGGCTGTATTAGTTTTCAGAGGACCATGCAAACATGAAGCTGCCCCATCTTTAATTTTTCAGTGCCATCTATGAGCACACACAACCTGCAAGATGGTGCAGATCGGTTCATCTTTCCAGGCTGGCTGCTTTGCTCAGAGTTAGCTGGGGAGGATAGTTCAGGGCCACCTTCTACTTGGGACTGAAGTACAGAGACTGTAAGCTGATCTGTGTGTGTGTGTGTGTGTGTCCGCTGCAGACTTCCAGTGCAACGTGCCGCTGGGGATGGAGTCTGGCAGGATCTCCAACATGCAGATTAGTGCCTCCTCCACCTACTCAGATGGGCGATGGACCCCTCAACAGAGCCGACTCAACAGTGATGACAACGGCTGGACCCCTAATGTAGACAGCAACAAAGAGTACCTCCAGGTATGCACGCTTTCCAGCACCTCGCCTCTTCCCCAACCAACCGGAGTGTCACGCTGTTAAACTGGCCCTTGACCATGAGGCTTGTTGAATTTTCTGTTGCCTCTGTGGCTCATGGGGAGCAAACAGCAGGGGAGCTGCAGTGCCTCTGTGAAATGCAACAGGCTGGCTCTCCCATTAGCACGACTGCACGAGGGGTGACTTGACCTGCTGTCTGTCCCCCACCCCCTCCTTCCTGCCCAAAACCCTGATGGGCTTTCCAGCATACTGAGAGAGACTGAGGGACCTCTGCCACTTACAAGGGCCACTGACTCTGCCACTGGCCTGAGGACCAAAGTCTCCAGGGGGCACATAGAAAAGTAACTAGAATAATATTTATCTCATCAGTGATGCAGGGAGCATGAGTGGGCTAATGTCAGGTAGGGGACTGACAGAGCAAAGGCTTTCCCTGGGAGCTGGTTATAGCCACGGTCTCTGTCCGCACAGGGGTTCTGGCTGTGTGACATTGCTATGAGACACTGCTTGCTAAAGGGCACAAGGAATGGGAGGTGGTGAATGTCATTGCCTCTAGCAAACATCTCATTCTTCATTCATGGCAGTGCTACCAAGCCAGCTCTGCTGACCTTTTTCAATCCACGTTGTAAAAAAAAAACAAAAAAAAACCAACGAAACAAAACAAGGGAAAGCAAAGAACCGCAGCACTTGCTAATTGGACATCATGCTTTTATTTCACATGTAAAAAGTCAGCCTCTGTCCTGTTTTAATGGACTTGAGCTTCTGTGCAGATCCTGTTACTTGGTCTGAGGCAGGAAGGCTTTGTGGTGGTCCCATATGGACAGACATCAAGATCCTTAGTTACTCTTGTCCTGCACTCCTACCTGCAAGCATCCTGCCGAAGTCAGCCTGGGGGGGGTTGTACCTGTGGAAGTGTGCACCCACAGATGCAGACAGACTGAATTTACACCTTTTCATTTTTCAGAGACAGAGGGATGAACTAACTAGTCAGCCTGGGCCCTCAGGTGGTCACCACTCTCTCTCTTGTCCCTTTTTCCCCTGGAAAGGTGGACCTCCACTTCCTGACTGTGCTCACAGCCATTGCCACACAGGGTGCCATCTCCAGAGAAACCCAGAATGGCTACTATGTCCGTACCTACAAGCTGGAGGTCAGCACCAATGGGGAGGACTGGATGATGTACCGACACGGGAAAAACCACAAGGTAAAGGCCTTTCTGTCTCTTTTGCATGCACCTTGGTGAGTCTTGCAGCCAACAGGAGGGAAGAAAACAGAGAGATTTTACAAGCCCAGGGAGTTTAATCTGAGGGACCCTTTTTCTGATGAGGGCTAAAAGACTGATGATGCTCTGAGCAGAAGTAGTCCTTTCTCCTCTGCACAGCAATGAGGAAACACAGTTCCTTGGAAAACCTGGCTGCTGTTGCGTCCTTCGTGGTGGTGAGAGTATGTTCTTTGACTGCAAATGAAGGAGAAAATGCTTTCACAGTCTGTGTTTTGCCATACAAGATTCATTGAGCTTTTATGGCTATAGCCCTGTCTGCATGCTGGGTTAACAATCACAAAACCACATGAAACTGTAGTTCAGGAGTTACTGGGGCCTGGTAATGAAAGGGCACAAATCCTAAGAGGGGTTCACAGCATCCCAGAGAACAAAATGAACAATAAATAATGAGGAGCAATTCAGGCTGCCAGAGCTGCAGGTTCTGCACTAGCAGGCACGGCCGGCAAGGGTGCATTGAGCGCTGGGAGCTGCTGCATGCTCTTGCCGTGTTTCTGGGAGGCACACAGAGATGGGAGCAAGGGGGAGGGAGGTTAAATGTGGGTGTTCAGCTGTTCCAAGCCTTGCAGATGCTGCTGCATGTCCAGGCAAAGCGAGTTCAAGGGGATTGCATGGAAACTTTGGTGTATGGGGAGGGCGTTTAAGGCAGCCATGGTGCCAGGCTGGTCCTGCTTGGTCACTTGCCTTGGTCATGCAGTTGTCCTCTGGTTAAAGGCACCTTAGGAAAGCCCTTCACTGCTCTTCTGTGGTGCCCACCAGCACTGCTGCCACAGCTCAGGTCCTCCCCATTGATGTGCCATAATCTGTCTGTGTGAACTAGTGGCTGGGGTCCCACACACCTCCGCCTACACACATTTCCTAGCAATTTCTGCTTGCTCAGCGCTTCTGTTAAATTAGCTGGCCCCTCCATTTGCTGGCACAGGTGCTGCAGGCATGAAATGCAGTAGCGTGTCTCGTCCAGGATTCATCCAGACATTTCCTTCCCTTCCGGGCTGTGTGATTTCCCCTTCCCCACAAGTGTGTCTCACAGTTCAAATTCACTCTGCTTCCCAGAATGAGTCCTCTCTGTGCAGAGGCCCCTAGCAGGGTTTCATACTTCCAATATTTGTCGTATTTAAGCTCCTTGCGTGCCAGTGAGGGTGGTGTTAGTCCTATTTTAGAGGTAGGGAAATGGAGGCACAGGGCAGCCCGGCACCCCATAGGAAAGTCAGCAGCCAGGCTCCCCCAGACCTCAGGTGGGCTGGCACCAGGGGTGCAGCTCATGGCAGAGCTCATGTATAACGCTAACACAGTGGCTGTGTGCTGGTGTGGAGGGTTTGTGCTCTTCCAGGACCCACTGGTCACGGCAGACCTTTCTGTGGATGGGGGCCATCTCTCCTCACCCCAGGCACCCTGTGGAAATGACTGAGTTTCAGGTCTCACTGGGACCATTTCTGCAAACCGAGGCAGGTGGGAAATTGGCAACATGCTGGGCAGAAAGAGGCTAAATACATAGTTTAGTGTTTCAAATAACCACTGTCAATTAATTTACCTTTCATAGTCTAACTGGGGTGGGAATCTGGCCTGGAGCGTGGTTTTAGTCACAGGGAAGGGTAGATGTCCTGTCCTTGTAGTCCCGGGCATTGGACACTGCATTCTCAACCATGGTGGAGCAGAACAGCATGGTTGGTTTCAGTGCTGCTGGGCCAACTTACATCACTCCAGAAAGACCCTCAAGCCTGGCTGCTGTCAACCCAAAGCAATCCCATAGACACATGAATTGCTACCATTTCAGGATTTGGTCCTTAAGTCGTATCAGCTTTTTTCTGCTCTGTTTTCTCTCTCCATAAAAAAAGAGGAAGAAATCAAACTTCTCGCTTTTTACTCCTTTATTTCAGTCTCACTTTGTTCCAGTGTTCTGGCCTCAATTTAGCAGACACCTCCCAAGGCTGGAGGATAAGTAATTGCTTTTTGGTGCCTTGCCTACCCCTTGCATCCAGGTGACTGCGTTCCCTCCCCACTGAATGACTGTCCGCCAGCTGCCTAGCTGCAGCAGGGCCAGGGCAAACCCCCTTGTTCACAGTCCTGGTGCCCGGGGGGGCTCTGGCCCCGCATTCCCCGCCTGTGTTAATCCCCACTATTCCTGCATTAGGCAAGCTCCCAGATGTCTGTATTCAAGGTGCAGATTCCTCCCTGCGTCAGTGCGGTGCTCCGCACAGTTCAGGCTGCAACGGCAGAGCAAACTATGCCAAATAGATTTGTCAAGTCTGCCGCAGCTTGATTTGGTGCCATGAGGAGCGGGAGGGAGGGGAGGGGGTGGACAGACAGGGACTCTCTATTCCTCTATATGCATGAAGATATATACGTGTATATATATACACATACATATATATACACACACATATATATATGCACATGCACACATAGGCATATGGGGTGTATCAAACACTGCTCTGAATTTCTGCCGGCTGTGTGGGCCAAAAGCAAAGCTCTGCCATGTTATAGGCAGGTCAGCTAGCATTTACATCTTCATCAGGGAACTAAAGGAAGAGAAAACGAGTGCAGGAGGGGTGGGGAGGGAATGATGCTCTCTGCAGAGGATGCGGAGCTCTGACCTCCTCTCTTCTGCCTCCCGCTTCCCCTCCCTTCAGTGTTTCAGAGGAGCGTGGGGCCAGGGTGTTTCCCTGTGAAACGTGGTGGCTCACCTTTGAGTCCCCAGCCGCTGGCATTCATGGTGAGGGAAACGGGAAAGGCAGGATGAAGCAAAGGAAAACAAGATTAATACATGCTCAGAGCAGACAGGGCTGGCTGGGCTGTTTCCGTGCCGAGCGTTGCTGTGATGGGGAGGCAGTGGGAAGGCAGCAGGAGGTCTGCAGCCAGCAGGAGAGGAGCCCCACACTCACACCTTCCCCTTCCTACCCCATCCCTGCCAGACTTTCCCCCTGCCTGGCAGCCAGCTCTCCACAAAGCCCAGCCCAGCACACCCCAGACTTCCCCCTGTCCAGAGGGTGATGCTCTCTCTGTCCTTGCCCTGGATGTGGGACCAGGGGGAGAGGCTAACCCAGCAACCTGGCCAAAGGTGTAGAGCTGGCTTCCTGTTTGTTCCCCAAGAGAGGAGACAGGGAGGAGAGTGGCCACCACCACGTGTTGCCCCACACTCGCCCCTTACTACCCATCAGCACATCCCCATGGGACAGGGCCAAACAACTCCTGCCCCAGAAAGGCTGCTCTGGTTCTTGACCTCTTTGTGTGTCATCCAGTGTTGATGGCCCCAAAGGTTATCTTCCAGGCACAACCCTGATGTTCATGCTGAGATCTTATCTATTGGTTTGCAAATGTCTTTAGAAAACAACAGCTCACTCTTGAACCCAAGGAAGGAAAAGAGCACCTGACAGGATTTGACCTTTTGGTTTTGGCCATTTTTTTCAGACAAATTCAACTGTGAGGATTTTATCGGAAAATAAAGTCTTCATCTATTCTGATCCACTTCCTTCTTTGTACAGTCTCGAGTTCCAGCTCCCATGATCTGAGCTGCTCCATCTTACTAACTGCGGAGATCAGCTCACAGGGATCATCTAGTGTGGCGAGGGAGACTGGGGTACGGGATGGGTTTTCAGCATTCAGGGTGGGTTGGGACTGTGATGGGTGCTCTCGCTGCCTCCATTGCTCTATGTGTAAAACAGAACAATGCAAATGAAACATTTGCTTTGAGAACCTGTAGAAGTCAATGGATTTTTGATGGCTTTGTGCTTGTTATCAGCTAACCTTCCTGAGTGGTATTTCAGGTGGGTGCAAGAAGGCAGGTTGGGTTGCTGCAAAGAGCCAAATATCTCAACTGTACATGGAGCTGGGGATGTCAGAGGTGTTTAGTGCTAGCAGGGAATATTGAGAATGACTCCCTGGAGACCATTGTGCCTTCCCTTAGGAGCATTTCTCTGTCCTTTCAGTTCTTAATGAGATCTCCTGTGTTCATTCACCTGGAGAGTGAGAGAAAAGCTTTCAGTCCCGTGCCTTCTTTATCTGGAAAACTCAGGAAAAGCTTGCATGATCAGCCAGAAGACCACAAGTGCTTCTGCACAGAGACGTCATGGTGCAGAAGGTTTGCCCAGCAGCATCCCCAGGTCCTAGCCTGCTTCTGCTGCTTTTGCAGGCTGGGCAAAGATGTCAGGCTTTGGGAAAACCAGCCCCGTGCATTCACTCTTGGTGCAGTACCAGGGGAGAATTACAGCCCTGGCTTTCCTAGCAAGGCTGCAGCTTTGTACTTCTGGGTCTGATACCTCCTTTGCAGGATAACAGAGTGCCACTCCTCATGTCCCTGGTGACTCCCAGATCTGAGTGGAGCCTCTCAAAGACACAGCGCTGGCAAGCCCAGCTCAGCACAGTGTGTCTTGCCCAGACGGCTGTGCTTTGTTGAGTGTTGCCAAGTATAATTTTTCTTTTACCTCCTCATTCCTGGATTTAATAAATCCAAAACTATCCACCTTCCACTCGAGCCAGAATCCTCCCACCATCAAACATGCCCCATTTTATGCCTTCCCTATCTGACAAGGAAAATAATCTCCCTTACTTTTCTCCTTCATGCTTCTCTGTCTAAATCCTGAAGCCCTAATCCTGTTAGCATGCTCTGTTCCAGGGCTCTGTCTCCACGGGAGTAACATAATCCTGCAGTAAATCTAGTGGGTCCAGAGAGACACATACATACAGACGAAGGCAGGGCTGCTGCCATCCTTGGCCTTCTCCTCTGCCTCCCCCAGCCACTTTGTTTAGCTCCCCAAGAAATCGCATAGTGGCCAAGCAGCATAATAAATAAAGCGGGAGAGAGGTTACCTCCTGCCCCCTCCCTGACTTGCTGCCTCTTCGACTTCATGGTTCATTTTGTCTCTCTGTCCTTAACTCCCTTCACTCCAAACTGCTGTTGGCACAATTCCCATACCCACTGGAACTAATGCAGCTTCAAAAATCCCCCCATCACCCTGTGGCGGTTTCACATCAAAAATACAACTTGTAAGTGTTGGTGTGGATCTTGCACGTGTGCACAAGGAAAACTTGCCCGATCCTCCTCTAGCCTAGACATCATCTCACACCACTTGCTTTCTGCAGCAAATTAATTAAGGAGGTCAGCTCTTATTGATTATCAATTTAATTGTACATGTAGACCTGCCGACTGGACTAAAACGGAAGTAAACACAAACTATATGGGGAGGAGAGGGGCAGCTTTTTGATGCAGCAGTGAAAATTATTTCTCTTGACTGCTTCTTGGAAGGTGCTTTTAATTTGTTAATGGTTTTCCCATTTGTCTTCTGGCTCTGTCACTCTTCAGCACGTGTGCATGCGCACGCGCGTGTGTGCTCTCTGCTAAGGGTGTATCTAGCTATCTCTCTTTATCACAGCCAGATATTTTTTTTCTGCTGGTGTAAATTACTGTGACTTCTTATACTTCGATGGCGATATGTTGATTTACACCACTTGAAGACTTGGCTCAAAATATGTGCTGAGTGGGATGGGAAGCAGATAGGATGGGAGGAATAGCAATGTTCTATTTTGGTAAGAGGGAAGAAATCTTTGCTTTCTTGGCATTCCCAATTTCACACATTTTCCTGCTAGCTCTTCCCATGCCTTGAGTGCTAATTTGAGGCAGGATGTAGAGCCTGTTCAAGTCCATGGGACTCTCTATACGGTGTGCTCAGGCTCTGGGGTTGGCATTTTCAGTGCAGAGAAACCATACAATCAGGGCCAGACCCTCGGCACCGGCATGGGCACCTATGGGCTCACGGTGCATTTCCACTTGGGAAGGAGGCTGAAAGGCCAGACGCATGGGAGGAACCTGCTTCTCTAACAGCACTAAGCCCCTGCCCTCTGAAAATGGCCCCTTTTTGTTATGCTGAACGGGGTGTGACACAATGACTTGCTGTGATCTGTTGGGGCTTTTCAGAAACAAGGTTCACTGGGGTTGGATCCTGTCAATGCAGCTGATACTAGAGCTGGAAGTCAGGTTCCATTTCTGCCCTCATAAACTGTCAGTCCAGAGTGTGAAGGCCCTGATCCGGAGTTACGTAGCTTGTTGAATGCAATCTAGTTGGAGGAAATTACTGGGCCCCAAATCCAAAGCAGAATTGAGGTTGCACTTGTTGGAAGCAGGTGGTTGGGACTAAGGTCATGTAGGAGATGCTTTCAGCAATGCATGTGGTAGTGATAAAGTTTTTGGGCTCAGTCCTGCTTCTGCTTTCTGTCAAGCTTGACTTTGCAGAAGTCAGCAACAAATTACGCTGGTGTAAATTTGGATTCTGGCCCCTGATGCTCGTATGTGCGAAGTGAGCTAAAAAAGAACAAAACTGGAAATATGTTAAACTAAAAAGAGCAGCAAACCTCGTCAGTGACTGTTAAACATGCTGGTCCATATGCAACCTTTGGCTCGTGGAGTCTTCAAACTGCTGATTGTGGGAAGCAAAGAGAGGTTGCCAGGAGAAGACTCGCTTGGGCTTGCTGCCCCTGGGCATCTGCAGAGGCCACCATCAGGAGCCACCCCCTGGGACAGAGGGACCTTTGGGCTGACCTGACATGTTGCTCCTCATGCTAAAATAGTTGCACCAGCTCAGATGAACATTTCCTGTCCTCTGGTGTTAGGTTCAGAGGGAAGGTGTTGCGTATCAGCTTCTGTGTTGACATAAAGGAGGCTTTGCTGTGGTGTGGAAATGTATCCTTTCAGCCTGTGAGTGTGTGTTGCCACAGGTTTACAAGACACACACACAGAGGCATGCCTGGAGAGTGTTTCACAGTAACCACTCTCCTTACAGCCCTCCTGCTGGAAAAAAGGGTATTTGGTGTCTGCTGAGCAAGGAAAAGGATGGGAAGTGGGGTCAGACAGAATAAAATAGGATATTAAAAACACATAAACCATGCTGTGTTGCTAAACAGTAGCAGCATGATATATATTCTCCAGATTAGCATTTCTGCTCAAGTTCACATCAACCCCATATCCCCAATTACTAGCCACATTTGCAGCCAAGGCCCTCTGTGGGGTGGCTGCTCCCTGCCCTGGCGGGAGTGCCACCATCCTGGGCTGGACAGTGATGCACAGAAGCAGCCCAGAGCTGGTTGTGGTGCTGTCCCTCTCTGTAATCACCCTCAGCATGCCCTGGTGTGCTGGATCCTGGGAGGAAAGCAGTAACATGTGCCATCTGCGGGCCTAGAGCGGTGAGAGGCTTATAAAATGCCTCTTAACTACTATTCAAGGTTAGAGGCCAGGATACAGCCTCACCCGTTTTTCTGTCTTGGATCACAGAGATCTGCAGTTGAATTGTTTGACTCTTGCCTCTGACAGAAGGAGATCAGTGCCAGAGATTATGCTCTCCTGCCTTGCTCTGAGATAAACTGAATGGGAGCTCCTGTGCTTAGCACGGTATATGCAGAAGAGCCCAGCCAACATCTCAGTGTGGGTGTGGCTCCTGGGTGAGATCAGAGGATGCTCTTGCCCTGTCCTGAGAGCCTACATGCTTAGAAGGAAAGCAGGCAATGCCTGTAGCCTCAGCATATGAGCTTTAGTGCTTTATGCTGGGGGCAGAGGAAGGGTTGAAAATTACCCTCAGGTTGGGTATTTCCTCTTTCCCCCTATGGCTTTGCAGCCTGAAACAGAAACACAAGTATCCAGTCCTTGTCCAGCATATTAAAATAATGGGCAGGAGGGGTGGATCTAACATCCATCTGGTAGTTATTGATTATGGCCATCTGGTAAGGCAACAGCCTTTTCATAACATGTCGGATCATAAAGTTTCCCAAAAAGCTGTCTCTATGTGGCAGGCTGCATGTACATGGGAGAGGCAGGGCCGAGTGGCTGGCTGGGACAGCAGCTTGTTGCCCCAGGCAGAGGCAGCATCCTCCCTGCTCATGCTGCTGCTTGCGCTCCCTGTTTCCCAGTGAAGATCACTCTGAGGACACATTAGGATGTCAGCCTGTTTACCTGTGGAAGGGAGGCAAGATCTCACACAGCATTCGGGGACATCTGGCCTTTTGTGTTGGAGTGACTCTAGGTTTGGGGGCAAGCTTGAAGCAGCTGTGGCCTGATAGTCTAAAGTGCCTCAGAGTGCCATGAGAGGCAGCAGGACAGCAAGCTCCTGAGTCTCTTGCCTGATGGGCGAGTCCATCCACCATGCCGTCCTGCCAGCAGCTCAGCTTTCCTTGCCTGACCCTGGGTGTTTGCCCTGGCCGGAGGCTGAGGTTTCCCTGCTGAGATTATTTTGACTGTTGATCTGGTTATTTCTTTCTGCCTGGAGAAGATATAATAATATTTGTGCCCCCTCTCCCCTGCAGACATTTCAGGCCAACGAGGATGCTACAGAGGTCGTTCTCAACAAGATTCACAGCCCGGTGCTTACACGCTTCGTGCGCATCCGTCCCCAGAGCTGGCACAATGGCATCGCCCTGAGGCTGGAGCTGTATGGCTGCCGCATCACTGGTGAGAGTCCCCTCCTCGCCTCAGCCCTCCTCTCTGTCACTCTGACAGCCTGTCCCGGGGTGCTTTCCCTGGCAGCTGGCATGGGTGTTTGGGGTGGGAATGGTGACACTGTGAGCAGCATGGAGGCACCCAATCCAAGGGACGCACTTTGGGGCACAGGTAGCCAGGCCCCGGAGGCAATGGAGAAGCGCCAAGTGCTGGTTCTGGTTCAGTGCCCAGAGCTTAAACCTGCAGGGAAAACCACAAATGCTCCCTTCAACTGCCCCAGCCATTCATGCCCTTTGCTTCACTGCAGATTCACCTTGCTCCAACTTGCTGGGAATGCTTTCTGGCCTCATCCCTGACTCACAGATCTCAGCCTCTTCCATCAGAGGCTACGACTGGTCTCCCAGCATGGCCCGCTTGGTGAGCAGCCGGTCGGGCTGGTTTCCCCGCATCCCTCAAGCTCAGCCTGGGGAGGAGTGGTTGCAGGTGGACCTTGGCGTCCCGAAGAATGTCAAAGGCGTTATTATCCAGGGGGCTCGCGGAGGAGACAGCGTGACCACCACTGAGTCCCGCTCCTTTGTGAAGAAGTTTAAGGTGGCCTACAGCATGAATGGAAAGGACTGGGACTTTATCCAGGACCCCAAAACGATGCAAGCCAAGGTAGGCACTGCCTGGAGCAGCTGCAAAACAGGATATGTTTTTTGGCTATCTTCAGTCTGCCTGATGGGGTCTTGGGAAATTAGCTCTCTGTCCCCACAGAGACCTTGGGAGTTTGGATTGTCACTGTAAAATCCCAGGTTGTGTCCCCTGGTCTTGCTCCCAAGCTGTACTAGGGGCTGTAGGTTCCACCTTGCCCCAGGTATTGCAATTTCCCTTAATTTCTTACTGTGGATGGCATGGGGATGTAGATATCACTTTCTGGTCCTCCCAGCTCCTGCAGGTCAGAGCCCACAAGGTGGTATGTTTGATTATATTTAACACAAACTAATTATGTATTTTAAGGGGAAAGGTATTGCTGATGTGGCTTGCACCTCTGGAAGAGGAAGATGAATCACAACTTCTCTTTGGGAAATTTGCTATATCTGAAGTCCCTTTTGCCACAATGGTGTGACCCTGAAATTCCCTGTGTTTTTCCCATATCATTGGAGTTACCCGTAATCTTTCTGCTTAGTGGTATGGGAGTGGCAAGGGGCTTGAGGAATAAGTGAATTGTCTGTGTGTTCTGTTTTTATGCAGACTGATCTGCTTCTGAAAATTTGGGTAAGTTTTAGTTTTTCCTGATCCAAGAAATGAGTCTTAGAAGGCCTGATGCTACCTATAGCCCTCTGTTTATTCCCCACAGACTTGAGCTCGTGCACGTAAGCTGAAAAGCAGCAGTAGTTAGACTGTGAGGAAAACTGAACATTTACACTATCCTAGAACATGCAGTAGCTTCTTTATTTGCCAAAGGACAAATCTGATCTTATTTATGTATGAAGTTAGTGGATATTCCCTAGGCTTCTCCTGCGTGGCTTGGATCAAAATCTGACCCCTGGATATGAAGCAGAGGCCAAGAGAGACTGTGCAAGTTTCTTAGAAACAGCCTATCTGGTCCTCTTGAAACTGAGGAGGAACAACCCAATTTCTGCTCAGCTGGACTCAATGGCCCGGAGTCAGACAGCTAAACTATTTCAAACTGTGGCTGCATCCTGCCAGACCCAAATTATCAGGTCTGGTGGAGAGCATGTGGGATGCACACATCACTTGCCTTTTCTGTATCTCTCTCTCTCTCTCTCTCTCTCTCTCTGTAGCTTTTTGAAGGCAACATCCACTACGATATCCCTGAAGTCCGGAGGTTTGACCCTGTTCCTGCCCAGTATGTCCGAGTGCACCCAGAGAGGTGGTCCCCAGCGGGAATAGGAATGCGCCTGGAAGTGCTGGGCTGTGACTGGACAGGTAGGAGCCCCTGCGCCTCTGCCCACTGGCTCCATTGGGACTGTGGCGGGCACTAAACTAGCAGGGTGAAAGTGTAATTTAATTTCTCTCCCTGCTGTCCCACCTCAGGGCCATGCCATGGCAGGGAGATTGCAGCCATGAAGGCAGGACCTGAAGTGTGGCCTAACCCCGTCTTCTTACTTCCACCTTAAAAGGAACTGGCCTCAATGCAGGATGTAGCACCAGTGTTTAGACCCCAATCCAAGCTTTCACAGAGAGGCTCATGTGGGATCTGTCCCAAACTCCCTTATCCCTCCTTTCAGATCTTTTATCTGGATGTTGTGCAGGCTTTTCTAGTCTCTGTGTTAGATAACATTTGGGCTTTTTAATCCAAATGGATAAGATAAAAAGTAGGAAGAGAAGCAGAGGTGCAGAAGAGGGGTGTAGTGACCAGTACAGCTATCTTGAGCTGCCACAATAAGGCTTTGCTGTAAAAACAACTGCCCCTCTCTCATTGAACCCCACATGGACAAGGTTGGGAATTTAACTCTACAACGTCTCTACAACATCCCTGAGATCAGGGAAGTTTGTTCACTTTTACCTACCTGTTTTTCACAAGTAAGATGCCTTGCAGCCACCGTTGTTTTTAATACAGAGGTGAAAACTGTCTAACACACTGGGATCAGTAGAGGTTGTGTCTCTGACCCTCTGAGGCTCAGTGGTGATTGATTGCTCCATAGTTTCATTCCCAAAAGCCAAAAATGCACCCAACAGCTTATTGGATCTGATGCTAGCTTTTCAGTGCCAGGGGCTAGTTGTCCCTTTTTTTAATCTATTTTTTAATAATCTGCTTAAATCTGAATCTGGTGTCCAGATGTCAGTGATAAAGAGGTATGATTTCCATTTTATGAACACATCTGTAGAAGGCATTTTCTTGTAAGAATTCCCATCCTAGAAAGCTTAAAAGACACAGAGCCTTTTTCCACCTTTTTGTGGAGTCTTTACTACCCTTTTCTCCTGTAGTGTGCTACGAGATGCATTACAGACACTTAACAGCAAATCACACAACACACGTACACACAATTAATAATGATCATTTGTCACTTTTGAAGTCAAAGGCAAATCTTGCCCTGGACTGGAAATCCATTGTAAATGATCCAAATTTTAGATCAAGACTAGATCTTAATGTAAATCTTTCAACATCTTTGGATTGTTGTAGGAGAAGCAGGTGCCATGGCATTCACGCAAGCAGCAGGAGCTGAGGCTCCATGCAGAAGTGGTCAGGCAGCTCCCACATCGCTGCTTCCTGCAGCTCCCAGGAGTTTCCAGCTGCCAGATCTCTGCAGACCATTGCTGGCTGCTGTATCACAGCGCTGCATCACTGCCGCAAAGGGAGACAGTCGCACAAGACCTCTGACCTTGTACATTGCAGCCCCTCCATTGCAGCCCTCCAAATTAGAGAATAAGAGAGATTTGGCATCTTCAACTTCTTGTGCTATTTTTGGTCCAAGTTTTCTTTTACAGCTATATCCATGCTCAGTTTCAATATCAGCAGCAACAGCCCATGTTTTTTCCAGGCAGGGTGCTTTATGGTCATTTCCCAGTGCGGTTGTCTAATCATTTGCACATTGTAATGTTTAAAACTCAACTGCCAAGTCATAAATATTTGTAGCTTTATTGATCTACAGGCATTCAGCTTTGTAATCAGAGCAGGGCTTGTAATCTTGTGGATTCACCATGTTATAAAAAGCATTTATATCCCTGATGCAACCTGGGGAGCAGAGATAGCACATGGCATTATCTGCATGCTTAAATCCTAGCTGGCTACATGCAGCAGTCCTTGACAACGCCAAGATACAACCCTCCTTTGCTGGGGGGACCCGGGCACATTGCAGAACTGGCTGTGAAAACGCAGGCAATTGCACTTGCTTGGGAACAAGATTAAGAGATGGATTAAAACAAGCTGATTGAAAATATTTTCAAGTGAGAGCCTAAGCCCATGTGTACCCTGCCGAGCTGTTTCTATTTCTTATCAGCAATGAGCATCTTAATTACTGAGTCAAAGAGGTAACTTAACAGCAACTGGGCTCACAAACTAGTTGGCTAGTAACTCAAAAATTGGGAAGCAGGCAGTCAGCAATTGGCTCCTTTCAAAGACCTGCCAAAATTTTTCTTCTGAAGAGTAGAGATTGATGAATGTTCACTTGCAGCTGGTTTTCTCTCCTTTGAAGTTCCAAACATCTGGTTTCAATTGCTCAGTGACTTTGCATTTTGATCAGCAGTTACCACCAGTTGCACAGATACTTGCTGGGCCAGGGAGAGAGAAAGCAAGCAAGACCTCTCTTTTTCACTTTCCATTTCACACATCATGTTGTCCTCCCTGCTATTTTCATTATCTCTTGTAACCGTCATGTTGCAGCTCTGCCACGGTAACTGATTTTTTCAAGATATATTTCTGCAGCTTGTCCAGGGCAGTGCAACACTGTTGATTTACATCCGCTCAGCATCTGTATCCCGTATGGGACTTTGCTTTCAAGGTCCTTCCACATTGTCACATTTCAGCTATAAATCTCAATATACAAGAACAACAACCTGAAAAAATGTACCAGCTCTAAATAACTTGCAGCTTTTGATATGTTGCTTTTACCTGCCGCTTTTTTCTTTTCTTTTCTTTTCTTTTTATGACATTTTTTCTGTGCCTGGCTGCTTGCAATTTACTTCTTGGTTGCATTTAGAGTTTTATGGGGTTGTAACAAATTTGAACTTACAAATTAAAAGACTTGGAGGTTATTTGGTATTTTATCCTGAACAAAAGACAGCTACTGGAAAAAAAAAAGGAAAAAAAACCCTGAGAGTTTATGTGCAGCATGTTTAATAACAGGAAAATAAAAGGGCAGAAAGGAACCTATGGAAAATATTCAATGTATTTAGCCATTTCCTCCTGCTTCTGGCTTTATTAAATGATATCCTGAAGGGTGCCGACAAAGAAACACAATCACACATAACTGAGCAAAGCAGCCTCTTTTAAAAAGTGGAAAGAATCAAGCCTGCTGTACTCCAGTTAATGCACCCGTAAAAGGAGAGGCTGCTGGAACCTAATGTCGTTTACTGTTGATCTTAATATCCTTCCCTTTCTTGCTTAAATTTCCCCTGACACCTGCTTGGAGGTTGTTTCACACAGGCCATGTTGGAGTGAGGGAAATTGGACAGAGACCCTTTGAAAGCATAGTCGGGAGCCTGGAGTGTGAAACCAGATGCTTTCTGCAGTGAGCCAGAGAGCACTAGGGGATCCTCTGGGTCCATTTGCAGTTACGTCATTTGTGGGTTTGAGTGACTTGTTTTATAAATTGGCACAATTGGTGGGAATGTTGTGTGTGGGTTTTTTAACATATCATATGCCTTTATGAAAGAAAAAGATGTTCTGCCTGTGATCTCTTATCTAGTAATGACAGCTAAGTGGATTGCCAACACCAGTGTAGATTAAAAAATTAAAAGAAAAAGTAGCACGTATGTCTAGAGGAGAGCCTTGTCCAATGGGAAATCTAAATCAAAGGAACTCCCATATGGAACAGCCAGTTCTCTTGAAGTTCAAACCATGCTGACATTTGTAGCACGTGGAAATTTCATGATATTCTTGCTCTGTCTCTTCCTGCCATTGAAAGAACATAAGAAAAAGATTTTTTTGCTTTGTTTCCTCCTACCTGGGCTTTTTGTACTGCCTATTGCAAATAGCATCTCTACTCTTTTTTTTTTTTTTTAGATGTAACGCCCACTGCAGAGACACTGGTGCCCACTTTGAAGAGCGAAGAGACCACCACCCCATACCCAACTGATGAAGAGGCAACCGAGTGTGGTGATAACTGTGGAGAAGAGGAAGGTACGTATCAGAGCAGCACATCTTTATCTCAATAAATGATGGCTTAAGAGCTAAGCAAATACTCTTATCTTCCCATTAGCTCCTATACATGGAGCTGATTCCTGGAAAGTTTAAAGTAATATTATTAGTGATAGGCCAAGATTTAAAAAAAAAAAAAAAAAAAAAAACCACAAAACCCCCCTGCCAAAATCTGATAAGTTATATCAAGGAAGGATGCAAGAGCAAGAGATAGAAGCTAATTCAGTCCCTAGGGTATGAGATTTGAAGAGCTGCTCTCCCAGCTTCCTTACATGACCTGAAGAAACTCACTTAGAGCGACCTCCATTCCAGATCCCCTTGGCTAGGTGTCATAAATTCAGAAGGTGATTCAGGGGAGAGATTCAGACTGTCTGATGTGTAGGGTTCCTTTTGCAGAGGTCACAACTGTGGGAGTAAATCATGACGTGTAGAGAAGGCTGATGTCCTAAACACCTATCTGTTAAGGATCATCTTCCCTAGTATCAGCTGCTTAAAATTTAGGAGTACAGTCTGGGCTCTTTGTGCAGGCAGCAGAGAGAGGGGAACACTAGCTCCTGGCAGAAGTTCCTCCTCTCAGTCTTAGATGGCTGTCAGATGTACAGAGAATGGTTTGGTATCTGTGGCACTTGCCTGCCTCTTCTGACTATAGAAGAGGCTGAATGTTAGTTTAGACTACATGCTGTGCTTGTTAAGAGCCAGTGCTGGGGGGACTAATCTTCTCTGCCCCAGATCCCTGCCTGTAAAAGCAGATGTCATATTTTTCTACTCCTTGCAAGAGGGATGTGAGCATCTAAAGCTTGTGAAATGTCCAGATTAAGGGGAGAAGGGTTGGCAGAGCTGTTCAGGGTTAGTTGTACAGTGCAGTGTGCATAAGATACACACCCCTGGGCATGACAGCAGATCCTGGGCCTCAGCACTGGGCCTGGGGCCTTTACACAAGGGCTTCAATGAGAAATCTCATGAGGAAAAGCTATCCTTTGAGATAGCTTCTAGGACTTCTGTCACTTCAACTTCCGGTCCCAGAGAAAAAATTAATGGGTTTTAAAATAAATAAATTTTTAAAAGAACATTAATTGACTTTTTCACACTTCCTGTTTGGATTCTGCAATAGTTCTGTTCTGGAAACGGAAGTTGCAGAAGTAGCTCAAAGGACCTGGTTCTCATTGCTTTGCCTCAGTGATAAGTCTGTGAAACCCTGCTACCATTGAGACACTTGTGAAACTACTGAGAGGAATTTGGGCCAGTAATAATCTCTGCAACAACACAATTTCTGGGTGCAGTCCAGGGCAAAAGAGCGAGCAGAGTATGCCATGGAGCATGGAACCATCCTCCCCATCAGCTTCCCTCAGATTTAGCAACAATTTTCATTCTCATACTCCATAAACAATGAACGTGTTTCTCTGGACAGTTAGATTGATGACAACCAAACAGAAACAATGCTGCTCTCCAGGGTACAAGATCAGATTGGAATACAAGGATCCATGATGTGCGTTGTTTTATTTCGGGGTAAGAGCATGTAAAGAAAGCCCTCTGCCCCTCACAGCAAAGTTGCCCTGATGCCTATTGGAGTCATTCATCTCCTTCTGGCTATCGCTCACTTTATAGGCACTGTGATTTAAAACTTCCTCTTTGCTCAGGAAAAACCAAGCCTATAATTGGGCTCTGACGTACATGTCTGCTGAGTGCTTGGGATGGTCTCAGAGCTCTCCAGAGCTTTTAAAGTTGTTGACACAGGGGAATTAGCTCTGCTCCTGTTTCACAGATGAAAAGTTAAATGACTCTTCCAAAGACCATGCGGTGAGTCCATAGCAGAGCTAGAAATAGAGGCTGGCTCCTTTCACTCAGAATCCAAATGCTTGAGCTCATGGTGGCCCCGTGTTTCCCCTGGTAGCATTTACTTGAGAAGGTAGGAAGCAGTGAGTGACAGCTCTCCATGTTGACAGACAGCTCCCTTCTGTTGTAAGTGGCTAGATCTGTCACTCAGGAGCTGGGTTTCTGGAGCACTTGAGATTCTCCTTTTGGAGCCAGAGCAGGAACTGATGAGCACAGGGCACTCAGGAAGCACTCTTCCCTGATATTTAAGAAGGCATTTAATATTTGACCGCTCTAGGGGATGAAGAGAAGGTGCTGATTAGAGGCTTGGAAGTATTTGGTGCTTGCTTTTATTTTTGCTTAGTTTGGTGGATTAGCTGCAGGACATGGTGTGAGCATTTTGATGATGTAGAACTTAAGGCTGATCCCTGGAGCTGATGAAATGTGAGATAGGTTAAAAGCATCAATGTGAGTGAAATTTCATGCTTTCTTCAGTATTTATGGCTTGCCAGCTATTTTAGTTCTGGGTTGTTTTTTAATAGCAACACCTCATGGGTAGGTCATTTTTTAATCCAACTTTATTTTGCTTCTATTTCTTGCTATAAGATTTCCACCTCCCTGCAAACTTCAACTGCAACTTTGATCTCCCTGAAGACCTCTGTGGTTGGTCGCACGACTTGGCAATGGGTTATACATGGTCTTTTCAGCCTGCAAGCACCTGGATTGGCAACTCTGAACCAAGCCCTGAGGCTGTGCCTGGTAAGATGGTTAATACCATACCAAAGCAGGGAAGAGGGGGCTGATGGGGCTTTCTGCATGTGAACAGTATGACTAATTATTGCACAACTATCAAGAGTTGTGAAGGCTGTGCAGACCTGAACTGTTTTCTTTTGTGGAAGCTTTCAGATGCTTTGCTGTATGGTTCATGAGTTATTTATAGGACTGTGACCACTGGCACTGAATTACACTAACTATCCTCTTGAGATAGCCTTGAATCAGACAGTGGGCTTTGAATCCCCTGTGATCGTGAAGGTTAGCCCGGGCTTTGTTCCACATCCTGATCCAAATGTCCTCTTAAGACTCAATGCTTTTTCCCCAGAGTGCACTTCCTCTTTTGTTAGAGATGCATTTCTTCCTCCCATATGTCGCTCAGATTGCCTGTAGTCTTCAGCTATTCTGCACTCTGGGCTTGCACAGGCTGGATTCCAGCCTCCAAGTGAAGGATGAGCTAAACCCTAAGAATGCCGAAATATGCCAGCTTCTTGCTGTTTGACTTTTGCTCTTTTTCTCTTCGGTGCTTTGGAAGCAGAAGATTTGCGTGAGTGTGGCAGAGCCTAATTTATGGAGGACCTCACTGGGATGTGCTGCCATAGGTTGGAAGGGAACCTGCCTCTGGCAGTGTGGTTGATAGATCAAGTTCTTCAGCTTCACATCTTGGAACTTGCCCTGGGACTAGCACCCTTTCCTCACCCTCATTAACTTTATGATACTGGTGGTATGAAGAACATTTGCCAGTTTCCTTGTAACAGTAGACTGTGTCACCATAGCATCACTTCTCTTCACTGTCAGTCATTGCTTATGAAATCAAGGCTCCCCCAGGGAGAGCTGGCTTATCTTACCTGTCTTCAGCTCTGCCCCAATGCCTGGTGACTGCATGCCATGTGCCCAGGGAGCCCAGCCGTATGTGGTGTGGACTCCTCCCTGCCCTTCCCCCAGGAAGGTTGAGTCTCGAGATGCAAACATTCAGGGGAACCTGTTAGCCACCTGGCAGAGGCACTGGCCAGATTGGCAGTGCTGCCAGCCAGTTGGAAAGCCATGCAGCCAACACCTGGTAGGCAGTGCTAAAGAGGAAAATATGTATTCCAGAAACATATGGAAAGAGGAGAATCTGCTACATCTCCACACACAAATCACCCCCACACAAATGCACACATCATTTCTCTCTTCAGCTCCTGAGGTGCTCGGCATTTTTCAAGAGACAAGGTAATGCTGTAAGGGCAGCCTATATGGACATCTGACAAATTCTTTGGCGTGACATAAGGTCACAGTGTCTGCTATGGGGAAAAACATTTCATATTTCAAGTGTTTATCTCTTCAGCATTTGAGTGCTTTAGAAGATTAATATCTGGAGCTCAGTGGAGCCTCGGGCAACAGGAGAGAACACTTACAGCCAGCCCCAGACTTAATAACCCTCCCCATCTCATTCGCTGTAATAATGTTTAATTAATATAAGCCTCCTGCAAGTAGGATAAAAATTACTTATTTTTATAACTCAGACTCAATTTTTCATTTCATTTCCTCTCCCCCGAGTCCCCCTACAATTAGTTGGCCATAGTTTCTTAGAAGACTCTGTTGTATGTGCACATTGTGTGTGTGTGCATGCACAGCCCAGGACAGGCTGGTGCTGCCTCAGACAGCTCAGCATGCAGTTCTGGTTTTTACCCTTCTTCTACCCTTTCTTCTCTTTCTTACTTAGTTATGAATTGCAAAACCTCATCACTGTGGCCGGGGGAATGTTTTCCTACTGAGTTCAGTGATCTGGTTTTGTGCCAGTGTGGAGAGCTCTCCCTCATGATGCTGTGCTAAGCCAGGCACCAAAGCACCGACAAGGTGCAGGCAGGCGCTCAGGCCCTGCCCAGCAAGTCATGGGCTGTACAGGCAGAGGAAGAGGAGGAGGTAGTAACTCCAGGGGGCTGAAGTGACTTGCCCACAGTGGTGGAGAAAGTCAACAGCAGACAGTAGGCACAGGCTGAGGGATGGTTGTTGGTGCCGCCACGGGATCAGCCTCCTGGCTGGGTCGGGCAGGGATGTGCCCTCCCACTGCCCGTGCTGCTGCCTTGCCCACACAGCACAGGGCTGTGGAGGGGCCAGCATGCAAAGGCATCACTGCCGTGCCTCGCTTTGGTCCTGCTCTTAGAAATTAAGAAGACATGACACAAAAGGAAATAACTATTTGCTTTTTTTCCTCCCCACGCTGCTTTTAAAAGCAACTCGAGAAACATGTAAAAGAGGCGATGCCAGCCCCTCGGCGGGACAGAATCGAAGCATTGTTTGGTTCACACTCCCCCATTCTTCCCCTGCCTTTCCCTCACGCTCCCTCCAGCACTTTGTTTCTACTTAGAAAATTCATCCTCAGACTCCAGGGAGTAGAGAATGAAAAGCCCTTCTTCATGGTGGTCCTTTCTTGTGAATTCCCCACCCTGGGGTGAGCAGTTGGGTGAAAGAGAGCAGCTGTGCTTGGTTTAGGGGCAGGGCAAAAGCTAACTGGAACTCAAAGCTGCTGGAGCCCAATTTACTCTGATTTAAAGGTGCTGGCCCAGGCTAGAGGCCGTGGCTGCTCTACGGTAGCAAGGAAATGTGCTGTGCCTTTAAGAACCAAGTGGGATGTGCTTCTATTTCTTCTGAAAATGGCAAAAAAACAAAAATTAAAATTAAAAGGGAAAAAAAAAAATGAAAGGAGGAGCCCTGGCTCAGTCTGCATGAGAGAGAGGGGGAAGGAAATGACCATGGTGAAATATCCTCTGTGAGGCACTTGATTAGAAAAGTCTGCTGAGAGACAGGCCTGAATTCCTCAGATATCTCCCGATTTCAATTCCTCCTCGTCTTTGGCGCAGAGAACTTCTCGAGACTGACAAGACACCCACTGCTCTCATTCCACTATTTTTATTTCCAAGATACTCTTTCAGGCAGCTCTGCATTTCTTTTTTTAGCCCTGTGTTCCTTGGGCTCTTCACACCATGGATTAACTCCACGTCCTCTCCTGCAGGCTCCCGTTACATGTCTGGGGACCCTGTTGATGAAAGTGGACCCAAAGTGCCCAACTCAGCAGAAACCCAGCATGGTTCCAGCTGTTACCCCGCCCTTTGCAAGCCTAGAAAATACTCTTGCTCCCTTTTCCATGCCCCCACAAGAGATTGCCAGGATTTTTCCCTCTATGGGTTTTCAGATGCTTCCCATCTGTAGAAAGCTTCCCCTTAGCTGCACCTAGCAAGCTTCAAGGAGCAACAAGTTCAGATTTCAATGAGGTTTCATCCCCCCTCCTGCTGCATGCGATGGCAATGTGCCATTGCTGTCAAGATAGAGGTCTTAAGACGTGAAAGTAAATCTGGTAAGTTGGACACCTCAACTCTTTACTGTCTTTGAATTTCTTGATCCTGAAGGGTGTAAAGATCCTGGGTCATATCCTTAGTTGGTAGAGGTGCAGTTGCGTTGCTGTCAGTGACGCTATGCTAATAAGCCAGCACTGAAAAGCTGGAATCGGGGTGTTTTGCCCTTTTCTCCTCCCCTTTTCTTGCAGTCATTAAGTAAATACCTGTGGCATCTGCACCTCTACTTGGCACTGCTTCTCATTCGGATGAGCACAGCGTCGGGGTCAGAGCCCTGGCAGCATTGTGAACCCCGTGTTGTTCAAATGTTGGCAGCTGTACATGCACGCAGAAAAGGAAGCAATTTTAACCTCGCAGCTCTCCTGACCACGTAGCTGTTGGGTGGGGCAGCAAAAAACTCACCGACTGCTTCTGTTGTGGGCCACGGCCTCACTGCCTTTGAGAATCAGGAATGCTGCTCATTCGGGTTGCAGGCGCTGCAAGGAAAGGTTTATTTGTTTCAAAGTGTTTCCAGCAGAGGAATGTTTGTAGTGCTCTGAAGTTTTGTAAGAGCTTATTTTTTAAGGAAAACAAATGTTAAGCTGTTTTTAAGCTGATGATGACCCTTTACCATTCCTTTTTTTTTTTCCCATGGGATCTTTCAAAGGGAAAGTTTAATATTTTTCCTGCAATCCATGAGAACTTCTGCCTTGATCCTACTCTGTCCAAAGCAGCAGAAAGGTTTTCATGGTGTTAGTGAAGCAGGGCTGGACTGAACTGGGTCTGTACTTACTCTCATGAGACTTACTCTCAGGGCTTGTTCTTTGGGGACACATTTTGACCCCTAGGGTCAGTCCTGTCCACTTTGAAGTAGGAGGGTTTTGCATATGGGGTGGTGTGAAAGTCAAGCACTTCTGTGCAATGAGCGAACAGCTACACACTGTAGGAAGGAGACCACATACCTGGATCTGTCTCTCCCTGCCCCTCCCCTATGTGTGGTGTAGATTGCCTCTCAGCAAAGCTGTACTCAGCTCTCCTGACCCTTGTTTGCACAGTGAGGTCAGCAAACCCTAAAAAGTCTTGGCTGCCTGCAGCATGGTGGAACTGGGATGTCCCAGCACCCAGATCACAGGAGGTTTGCTGAGCATTGCCTGGGCTGTGCAAGTGCCCTGGCCACAGGCTGTGGGCATCCTCATGCCTGTACTGTCTTTCATGAGAGAAGTGGCATGGCCACAGTTTGTCCCTGCATTGCCAGCAAAGCTCCTGCTGGCTTGGGCTGGGCTGGAGGCATTGGAAAAGAAACCATTCCTCTGGGGCTCCGCTGTTCACTGCTCGCCTGGGTCCTTAGTCACTTTTTGGACCCAGATACCAGTGACACACACTGCCTGTAAAACCGGGCTGGAGTGCTCTCTGGAAAGCAAGACACTGTCTCTCAAATCTTAGCGCGTGCATCACTCCATCGCTACACAGCAGTGACTTAGCAGCCTGTGAGTCACAGAGCCTGATTTGCGAAAGCATGTGTGCATGCGAGCAAGCCGCAATGTGCAGCCTGTGTGGTGGAAGCGCTGTCTTGGCTAATACCTTAATTGTGCATACACAAATGCTGGGCACGGGTGAGTCTGCACACACCCTTTCATGTAGGGTGCCTGCCAGGCTGGTGGTGGACACCGTGGGGTGGCAAGCAGCTCACTTAGCTTAAATGTCAGGCTCTAATTGGCATTTGGTTTGTCAGGGACGCTGTGCCCTCCCTGCGCTCCTGGGGGGAGGCAGTAGGACTCACAATTGCGCCGCGCTGTTGAGGATGTGAGACTTAATTAAGAGAGAGGATGTAATGGCCCGTCCATTAGAAAGGCTCCGGAGAGCAGGCAGAGGGCTTGGTTCTGGGCAGGTGTGGGTTTTTATGCCTTCTCACAGACTGATTTAGAGACTGAAATGGCAAGGATGCGGCAGCCTAATTAACACATAATGAAAATCGAGGGGATTTTCGAGCAGACACAGTGATCTAGTTAATATAAATATTAGTTTTACAGAGGATTGATTTCCCTTTGTAAAGGAAAGTATGTCATTGAGGAGAAGCCTGTCACTGAAATTACGGCAGCAGCCTTTTGAGGTGAATTTACATGATTTGCCAAAAAAATTAAAAATATAGTAACTATCCAATTTCAATCTCCATATTCATGCAGCTGCCATCCTCCAGCTACCAGAGCACCCTGCAGTCATGAGGGGATCTGAGCTGATCTGCTCCCCAGGAACGGCAAGGGCTGATGCAACCTCCAGCTCATATGCTCCAGAAGAGAGGCAGGATCAGGCCCTCCTGGGACGTCTCCTTGGCCCTGACACAGCATGGTCAGGGTGGTGTTTGAGGCTGTGCTGACAGCAGGCAGGGCCCAGAGCAGAGGTGTCATATTTGGCAGACAAAAGGTGGCTGCCAGTGGGCTGTGGGACCGCCACTAAAACGCACCATGAAACAAGCTCTGCAATGAAGAGGAGTGCAATGACTTTTGGAGGGACATAAATGAAGGCAATTCAGCATGGATCCTCCATAGGAGCAGCCACTGTAACTCAACAGTATCCAGTGAGGGGGAAATGTGGAGGGAATCTGAAATCTCAGTAATTGCTGTGTACATCCTGCCCAACATGTTTTGCTGGAAAACCTCCAGATGTGCTGCTGAGACTGATGAGGGAAGGTGTTTTTCTTGGGAGAGGGGGCAAGACATGCAGGACCCAAGCACAGGCAGGCTGACCTTGCAGAGGGGGCAGCTGCCATGGCTTGTGCTTGCAGCCTGACCCAAAATGTGAGGCTTCATCCCCCACTGCCCCTAACGTCCTCTCAGATGGCTTGCTAGCAGGAGGGGGCAGGCATGCCAAGAGGAAACTGTGTTGGCCAGATGGTTTGTTTGCAGGGCCTGACTGGTGATTTATCTGGGACTCGCTGCCGTGCACATACAAGTGACTGCCATTGTCTGGCTGGGGTTGGTTGCACGTTCATGCTCCTCTGGCTCCCCTATATCCAGATGATCCCATAAATCTTCCATGAGATTTATGCCGTAGCATCAGTTGCACAAACAGTGGTAGGTTAAAATGCCTGAGCAGGTTTGTCCTGCTGGCACTTTAAACTACCAGTGCCAGTTCAGTGGGGTACGTAGCTGCAGTGTTAGTTGGAATAGAGGCTGCAAAGCAAAGTTCTGGGAAAGAGATTAAAATGCATTTCTGACCCTGGAAGAACTGATCAGCTCATCATTGCAAAGCTCCCTTCAAGTGTTTTAGCAGGGGAAATAAGCCTTTCAGGTGCTTTCTGTGCCAAAGGCTTCCATTTACTGTACCAAGCAGAGTGACTACTTGAACCACCAGGCTCCCACATGGTGTTTCAACAATTAGCTCCACAGTGCCCTTGTTCAGTCAGTCTCAGCAAATTCATGGGGCTTTTCAGAAGATCCAACTAGCCATTAGAATGATCCAGCCATTTCATCTTCAAATGACACAGAAAGTCGTGTCTGCTTGTGCTCAGGTCTTCACTCCAGAAACTGGTACCAGGAGCAGAAGCGTGTGGTGCCCAACCCACTGCTGCTTGCAGGGGAGCAGCTGGGTTCATCACCCAGAGACTGAGCCTCCCTGCAGTCCTTGGGACTGCCAGTAGGTGTAGGGCTTGGGAGGGCTCCTGAGGCTCTGAAAGAGCCTGTGTGGTTGAGGGGGGCATTGGTTTTGGCGGCAGTTTAGGAGTTTATTTGATTTCACAGCCTGATAGGAATGGGAACAAACAGGAGGTCGGTGTCATCCCCAGCAAGAGAGATGTGATGCAGAGCCACATGAGCTCTTTTGCTTAAGTGGCAGATGCAGCAAGTACCACGGGATCCCAGTGAGGGGTATGGATCATGGGGGGTGTCCAGCTGCACAGTTAACATAGTCCCCTGTGGTCAGCTATGGGTTTTGGGTGGATCCAAGGATGGCTTGCATCCCTGCACTCAATCGGGCTGCCTAGATATTGGCACCGAAGGTCGATCCTGAACTTTGAGGATCTGGATTTGATCATTCTTGAGCCTGGCTGGTGCTTTTATAAAAGATTTGCCTGTGAGACCATTTCAGCTGTGAGATAATTGTATGATTGCAGCCTGATTTGCTCTTCCACCTTCTTTGTTGTTGCTGCTTTTTTCTTCTTGTTGTTGCTTTTTTCTTTGAAGAGGCTTGTAGTGAATTACAAAAAGAGGATTTTAATTCAGCAGACCTTGATGACTTATTATGCCTTATCGCTCCCTAGGCATGGAGTACAGCTTGTTCTTTTTTTTTTTTCTTCCTCCACTTGTTTATCTCCCACATCTCCTCCTCCACCACTACCACTCCGAGGTAAATCACAAGAACACTCCTCCATTAGAGAACGGCATGGTACTTTTTCAAGTGATTCGCTCAAGCAGGAGTGGGCAAACATGCTTTCATTTTTTTTTTTTCTGCTACTGTTTGTTGGCATAAAGTGCCAAGTGGCCCAAGTACATTTCATAGGTGCTGGAAAATATTGTTGGAAAATGTTGCTCTTCCTTTATGTGGCAGGTCAGGGACAGATTTGTCCTTCATGCAGCAAAATCAGTGAAAGTTCATATGGAGTGGATACGCTTTTGAAATATTTTGATCATACATCCCAGGAGTAGAGTGATGGCAAATCTTTCTGCTGTCTTGTCCTAAATTTATTTTAGAAAGCTGTGTAGCTCACGGTGGTTGGTTTCAGCCCAGCTCTCTGGCAGTGACGAACTTGTGGCAGGGCCAGTGGCTGTGCAGCCACTGATACATTTCCCATGGGGTGGGATGTCACCAGATAGCTCAGTAGCAGTGAGGTCAGCTGCTGTTTTTTGGGTGAGACCTGTCTTTCAATGCTTGAGGAACTGGTCTTTAAGTTCAGGTCTCTCTGGTTTAAGTTTTGAAGGTGTTTGGGGTGCGCTTTGCAAACATTCTCAATGCATACACTGCTCTTCTGCCATTGCTCTGGGCACTGAAGCCACAGAGGGACAAGGGCAAGCAGGAGGCAAGCTGCTGCTCAGAGCTTTACCCACCAAGAGCAGCAGGCTAAGATGTGGGGAAAGGAAGCGACAGACCCTTAGATGTGGTCCTGGGGCAAAGGTAACCCCCCTTGGTTGCAGGAGGGCTCACAAGTGTTGGCATGAAGCACTAGTGACACTTGCCCACTGTGTAGCAAGAGCAAGCGTGTTCATCCCTCTGTTGAGTGAAACACAAAATACAGCAATATCTGTTGTTGGCCTGTCTGTGTCACCTTGTACTGTAGGCACTGCAGTCGGAGCAACCCAAGGGATTCTTGTTCTGCTATGGATCATGATGGGGGGGCAGGTAAGGATCAGATCAGCTACACGCTTGGCTTTCATTCTGTGATAAAGGACTTGAGGCATTCAAGCTGCAAATGGGAAACTCCTTGAGGAGGCTTCTCATCAGAGAGGGCTGGTGACCACTGATTCCAGACCAAATCAGCCATGCCCAGGGATTTGTATCCATGGGCCTTTGCTGCTATTGGTATTCAGATCAAGTATCTACAATTCCAGTCTCAGGCTTGAACTTCTCCTGAGATATCAAACATACTGAATCTCCTCCCTGAGGAGTGACAAAAGGCATGGCACAATTTAAATGTAGTATTAAAGCAAGTGAATCCCCTGCTGTATGTATTTCAGCTGCCTTCAAGTTTGCAACTACCTAGTTGTCACCTGTGCATACTTCACTTATTGGGACCATGTCCTTCCTCTGTGCTGTGCTTTAGGGGCTATTTTGCTGCATTACAGAAAACCTGAGAGCCAGGCTTTCATTTTGTCATGTGTATCCTCAAAACAAAATTGTCAGCTAGATCCTGATTGTGGAGTATTTACTGCTGGGGATGAAAAGAGGCAAGATGAACACAGCTTGAGACCCTCATCCCAAGGTGAGCCCCCCATCTCAGTGATTAGAAAAACCCACCTCAGGCTTGTTCAGTGAGCAAGTTCCCAGCAGAATAAACACATACCCCCCCCGCCAACCTCATTACTGTGGCATCGCTGCTTCTGACGATAACTGCTCTTTAACTTCTTCTAATTTTGTCGATCTTTGGCTTGCCGCTTTCTGGTTTTGCTGTTGGTCTCCTAGAGACCACAACCTAGAGGTGGTGGCTGGTGAGGGCAGTGTGCTCCTCAGTGCCCTGCACAGGGTGCAGCAGTGGCACAGCTTGCTGCGCACATGGAGGGTGCTGGTACGAGGCCCCACTCCTGCAGGCATGGGTGTGAGAGCCTGCCTGGCGCTGCCAAAACCACCTGGCAGGAGGTGGGACACTTGTTGCAAGTGTCTGCAGAAAATAATGTAATGGTGTTTTCCTCTTTGAACAGATGGCAAGAATTACCTGCAGCTGCAGAGCAGCGGAAGGAGGGAAGGTCAGCGAGCCCGGCTTATCAGCCCCACCATCTATCTGCCCCAGAGTGCTGTCTGCATGGTCTTCCAGTACCAGGCATGGGGCAGCAACGGGGTGATGCTGCGGGTCTGGCGGGAGGCCAGCCAGGAGCACAAGGCTCTATGGGTCATCACAGAGGATCAAGGGGAGGAGTGGAGGGAAGGCCGCATCATCTTGCCAAGCTACGATATGGAGTACCGGGTAAGATGATTGGGGATGGTGTGCTGGACCAGGCAGGCATCTCCAGCATCTTTATTTCAGTGTTTCAGAGCCAGGACCCATTCATTATTAGGGAATGTGGCTGTTTTCATTGTGTTTCTTGAGTTACCATAGTAACTAAACGACACTGTTTGTTATTCAGAGAGTGCCTGTCTTCTGCAGACTTGGGCCTTTGTTCAGCCTGTTGCCTTTTATATTCCTCAAATCTCCCACTTTGCAAATATTTTCACTTTTCCGCCGCCCCCCC